ATCTTATTTCACATATTTAGACACATGAGATTGCCAAATTGATGTTTAATATTTTTTAGGTTATATTTTAGTAAATAGTATTGATATATGTCCCCAAAATCATATGGGATGTCTAAGGTTCTAATGTTTGAATACATGCTATTGATCAAAATTAAGGTTATTATGTTAAACTATTGTAAATGATAGAAATAACTAAATTTCTTTGTCAATCATATTCTTGACTGATGATATCCTGGACATATTGTCATTTACAGACAATTTTTTCTGTTTTAATCCTATTCAAAAGATGATTTATGGTCAGCTATATGACATTTCCATCTGAGACCACTTCTGTCTGGACTCTATTTTCCATATCACTGTTAGCACTTTGGACAAAAGCATTCAACAAGTCTCTAGGAAATTCCAAACTTTTCCACACTTCTCTGTCTTCTTCTGAGCCCTCCAAACTGTTCTAATGTCTGCTTGTTACCCAGGTCCAAAGTTACTTACATATTTTCAAGTATTTTTTGAGGAGCACCCCACTACTAGTACCAATTTACTGTATTAGTTCATTTTCATACTGTTGATAAAGACATACCCAAGAATGGGCAATTTAAGAAAGAAAGAGGTTTATTGGACTTAGAGTTTCACATGGCTGGAGAAGCCTCATGATCAAGGTGCAAGGCAAGGAAGAACAAGTCACATCTTACATGGATGGCAGCAGGCAAAAAGAGAAAGTGCTTGTGTGTGGGAACTCCTCTTTTTAAAACTATCAGATCTTGTGAGATTTAGTCACTATCATGAGAACAGCATGGGAAAGACTTGCCCCACAATTCAGTTATCCCCCACCGGGTCCCTCCCACAACATGTGGGAATTCAAGATGAGAGCTGGATGAGGACACAGCCAAATCATATCATTTTGTGACCTCAGGAATAACAGCTAGTAATTATTTAGAATTCAGGCCCCTCTTATCTTCCTTGCTTCGTGGCCTTTTATTAGTTTGTGTAAGGGAAGTTTAGTTTTGAGGCATAGGTATTATCATTTAAATTATAAACTAAATTTCACACAAAGTTAGCTTGGCCCCTCCCCAGGAATGAAAAAAAAAAACAAAACAGCCAGCCTTGAGGCTAAAAGCTAGATGTAGTCAGCCATGTCAGATTTCTCTTACTGCCATAATTTTACAAAGGCAGTTTATGAATAAAGACAACATTTTCCAAGTCAATATGTATTTTAAGGGCTCTGGTATCTATAGCCACAGGTACACTTGCTTCAATTATGTTTTGCATATGTAAAAGAAAATATATTTTGTACTTGGCATATAACAGTGATTTATTAGACATTAGTGGAATAAATGATAAGTTCTTTAAAATGTTACCCAAAATGAATTTGAATACTTGAATGCATAAAGCATGTTCAGATTGCACTAGATTCTTTTTGAAGATTTTCAGGAGTACTTTTACTGTCTTTGCAAATGATAGTAGTTTAAGTAATAGAATGTCATAACTATGGATCTTATGAGAAGAAGTGAGAGAAGAGAAGGGAAGAAACTGATCAGGTAGGCAGTTAGATAGGTCCTAGGTTGAATTTGTTCAAACAAAAGAACAACCTGTAGGCACAGATAAGGAAACAAGACAGAGGGGCTTGCCTAAGACATGCCCACAGCCACCAAAATAAGAAAGGCTACACAGGTGACTTCCCAGACATGTCCCCTCAATGGAAAATTCCATCCCCAAACACATGTGCAGTAAGGGAAACAAAGCAATATAGAGGAACTCAAGCTAAGAGCCCACATGCAGATTAGGAAGACTGGGGGGTGAAGCTATCAGATTTGTGCCTTATGCAAATGAGATATCTAGTCCTCATCAGTTACTTATAAAAGCCTTTGCTTTCAACTGTAAAAACAGCAACCCACTTCCAGGTCCCTTCTCCACAGCAGAGAGCTTTCCTCTTTTGCTTATTAAACTTTCACTCCAACTTCACTCTTTGTGTCCACACTCTTTAATTTTCTTGCTCTTGAAATGAAAAACTCAAGGTGAAGCCTCACAATAAGAGACTGCTACACTGTGGTTCATTGGCTAGACCATAGCAGTAGTAATGAATAACAGAAATAATGAACACTACTGGATATTGAGCATTAAAGCCAGCATGATCACCCAAAAGCCTGAATTGTAATGAATGAAATGTTGTACATCCAAATCTTAAATCATATAATACTTTTTAGGCCCCAGAGTCATTGCAATAACGCAAAGCCTTCAAATCATTACATCATTGAATGTTTACTTTCCTCAGTTAGTTGTGTTGAGTTAGTGAAGTGTGATTAGTAAATATATAAGAATGTCCTCCAAGTAAGTTTCCAGTGATGAGGTCTAAAGTATAAAGAAGAACAAAGAATCAATCTGAAAAATAAATCTGTTTCAGATTGACTAATTGAAATTCAGATTTCAAATAGTCAAAAATAATATCCATGGAGCTGTCTTTATGGAGAAATATTATGATACATACAACATTAATATAGTCTTCTTGAACACTGTGTTGTGATGAATAGTGTGAATGGTATCCAATAGGATGTCTTAGAGGGGTAAATGTGAAGGTTGTCCAAAAGAGAAGAAAATCTGAAAATGGGAATAATAACTAATAGTTGAATAATGCATAACATTTTCAAAATACTTTAAGAAATATTGTTTCATTCACTCTTAAGAGATACTGTGTCAAAAGGAATTATTTTTATCATGAATCACATGATATTTATCTTACTTGGAGATAGAGGGCTAAGAAGAGCTATAATGGAAATTTGATCAGCAGTATTCAAATTCCAAATTCATGACTCCTTATGTCATGAGATTTTATTTAAAGAGAATTCCTTCAGCTAGGATGGAGGCAAACCACTTAATTATGGGGGTGGACATAATGAAATGTATCCTGATCACCTGGGCAATTTTCCTTGGTGGTGGTGGTGAAGTGTTCTCATTGATTCAGTGCATATCCTAGGGTAGACATTTTGGTCTCTTACTGACATTCAGTCACAAATTCCTTCCCTCTTTTGTGATGTGTGAAGAAAAGGTGAAAAACTTTTTCCAGAGTTCTTTGTAAGCAAGTAAAGGCAAGTAGGTTCTGAAGTAAAATCTTTAAAGCAAGTGATTTTATGGATGTTAAACTTTTTCAGTACAGATAGCTTGATAATTTGAGTGCAGAGGAAGAAAACTGTCTGAGAGAAGGAAAATTTACTGCCTAGGAACACCAGGGGGATTTCTCTGTGGGTATCCGAACCAAAAATAGAAATGATATGTAATATAATGATTGTTTTTTGGCAGTTTTAGGTGATGCCTGGCATTTGAATAATGTAGGCTAAATCACAAGGAGTATATAAAATTTCTATTTAATTTAATTTATTAAAGACTGTTTATATCCAAAATGTTAAAGGATGAATAGAGATAAACACAACCAGGTATCTGCTATTCAAATATTTATAATTTATTTAGTGATGATGCACACAAATATTGTTTAATATTATAATAAATAGTATTATAAAAGATGATAATAAAGACAAGGAGGAAAAAGTTCTTCACTGGGAAGGTGATACAGTAGACATCATACAGAATTATGATAAGGAACGGACAATTAATCAAAATGGTGGAAGGAGTGACTGAGGAAAGACATGCTTTGAGAGAGGGTTAAGTTTGGGGATGGTTTCATGAGGCCAGCATAAAAGGATCTTGTCAATAAGACTGAGAACTGGAGATTTAAGAGACTCAGTGGGAACTTAGAAGCCATGGGAGACCAGAGAAAAAAAGAGTCTCAAATGAATTCAGGTTTTTAAAGTATTCATTGACTCTGGCACATATAGATAATTATTTTATTTCCAGTTCAGTTTCCAAGGAGTAGAAGAAGAAGAAAGTAATGTCAATGTAGTAAAGAATGAATGGAAGAAAAAGGAGAGAAGATGATGGGTGAGTAGAGTAATACTTCTTTATAAAGAGCTGTGGAATGGAGATGCTTAGTTGAGTAGCAAAGAGTTTCAAAGAGCAAACTAAAGGGCTGCAGAGAAATAGCCATTAGGGACAGTTGTAAGAGGAGAAGAAATATTAAATGGGTCATTGCCTTGGATGAGACTGAATCTCTCTGACCCAGTGAGAATGAGGTAACTTGCACTGAGCAGGAGAGACTCTTTATCATCTGAGACTAGAAGAAAAATAAAGTATATGGGTAAGGTTAAGTATGGTTGTCTGGTTATTTAGTATGGATAAGTAAAAGTGAACAGAAATTGAGAATATATATTTTTATTTGCTTCAGTTTTCTACTTGAAGTAGAGTTACTAAAAGATTGTGAGGCAGAATAAGATTTGAAAAATGGAATATTCAGTGATTGGAATAAAAGATGAATCTAAGGACAAATGAATGTACCACTAAGTATATTTGAGGCTCCATCTCTGTCTGAAAATCATTATTTTTTGGTTTCATCATGGTTGCATTTTTAAATTTTAAAAATGTTCTTTAGAAAAGCTTAGGAAACTGCAACTTTGTGAGGAAAAGGACTGTGGGTATGAGTCACAATTGCAATTTTGCTAGGCAATTTCAGTGAAATGACAGGAGTACAAGACAGTTGAAAGTATTTGTCAGTACAATTTCAGAAGAGTAGGCTAAGCCCAGAAAAGTGAGATCAGAGTCATTTAACATATTGAGTTAAAGTGGAGGGATAGAAGAATTGGAGTTATGAAATCGAAAATAAATTACAAAGGAAGTGATGTGCAAGAGGTCAGAGGACTGTAAGTTTTGGTCTGATAATGAGATTAAATTGAGATATCTGATTTTTAACATCTTAAAGTGATAACAAAAGGGTAGGTGAAGTGCGTGTGTCTCTGTGCCCATGTGCAGGCTTCTCTTATTAGAGGTGCTTTTCTTCAGTTCTGAATATCACTTTTTTATGTCATAATGCTAATTATTGTCGAAATTTATCTTGTATTATTTAATGTTTTATTTATAGTTCAGAGTTTTTCTCTTTTAAAAAAACAACACCAAAAGAAGACAATCATATTGCAGCAGCAGTGCTCCTACCTCTGAACTAATTTTGGAAGGCCTGCTTAGCGAACAGCCAAGTTTCTTTTTGAATAGCTGATTCAACTCAAGTAATGAGGGTAGCATCTCATCCACAATGCAGCTATATGAAGACAAAATGATCTTAGCAGCTAAATTGCAGACAATTCAACATTCTCAGCAGGATCTTTGTGAGTGTGGACCCATAGATTTCTAAATTCTAAGAGAATTTTTTCTAGTCACCACTGCACTAATTTGAATTGATTTTTTATTGCATAAGTTATAAACCATGCTTTAAACCATAGGTTCTTCTAACTGCTAGGTTTAATTGTACAATTTAAAGTGTTTTGCACAAACGAAATGTAATTTGGGTACAATAAAATAGTGATACGTACAGACTCTAAAACTAGTAAGAGGAAACTTTATTTATGTTGCATAATGTTATTTCATTGTGGATCAAATATTGACATAAATTTGTGTTAAATGGTGTCAGAAGCTCCTCTTGGCCATCCTTCAGTTTCCTATTGGCCTGCTTACTTTTGTCTTCCTTGCATTTTGAGATACCCTCATTTTCCCAGATTGAGTGTTTAAATAGAGCACTACTGAGGAGATATTAGAGTAAGTAGAACTTCATTTGTTATTTCTTCATAGTAACCAAAAACATACTTATCAGAAACTCTCAAAGCTAAACAATGAGCTTACCTTGTTTTTGGTAAATGTATATTCTTTTTCATATCAATATATTGAGATATTAGGAAAAAGATACACACAGAGAGAGATTTTCTTCAAAATGCTCAGCCCTGTTCTAGGTGTTTTGGAAATATAGACAAAAATAAAACTTAACGGATGACCTCAAGTCCCTTTAATCTAATTGGGGCAGATTAGAAATTAGGTGAAATGTGAAGTGCTGAACCATATGCTCCTGATGGTAATTTTTTAGCAAATGTTTGTGGAGCACTTCAAGTTTCAAATGCGCTGGTAGGTGTTGGTCATATAATATCTATAAAACTGATGAAAATACCTGCTCATAGTGTAGGGCTATGTGTAGTGGAGCAGATAAGAATCAAAACAAATAAGTAACACAAGTAGCAAAAAAAAAAATGCTAAACAGAAACAAGGAGGAAAAGGTATAAGAAATGGCAAGGAGGAATTTGATAATTGTTAATAAGGAATCTGATAGAGTGTCCAGCAAAAGACTCACTGAGTACAAATCTGAAGAAAGTAAAAGTGTTGAATTGGCCATGCACATAACTGGGAGAACACATTCTAGGCAGAGGGAGAGTAAAATACAAAGGTCCCATGGCAGGAGAATGTTCTAGGATGAAGGGGGCACAATAGTGGGAGTAGAGTCAATGAAAAGAAAATGGTAGGCAATAGTCAGAAAGACCATGGAGACTCAGACCACATAGGGATCCGTAGCTCATTGTAAGAACTTTGGCCATAATTCACCATGAGAGAGCTTAAGATAAGAAAGGACAGAAATCACAAAGCAGGTGGAAAGAAAGGATACATTCAGATTTGAGATTTGCACTGGGTTTTGACAGGTAGACAGACTTTGAAATGATGCCTAATTATTGATAAATAGCTTAATAAGAGCAAAGACACAGTAGTAAGTACTTTACAGTCTTTGAGGATAAAGTGTCTAGTATGTCATTCTTAGACTGGCTATTTACAGTGGAAGTAAGTTACGCACAGCCATTAAAGACATAATTGGAAGCTTATATGTGATAAAATAGGAAAATTGGGAATTTTAGAAGCTTTTCACTATTAAAGCTTGAATAAATAGAAAAAAGACCAGAGAAAGACTATAGATAGAAGGAAAACAGAGAAAAAATTAATTTCTATAGCATTTTCAGAAATAAAACTACTATTCCTAGTGGACTTTAGTGGACTTTGAATTTTCTCCCATAGTTTGTAAACTGGGGTAATTTTTCATACACTCACAGAATCACTGGTAATGTAAGAAATAGTTGAGCTGGTAAAGAAGAATAGGAAGTGAAGAAGTTTAAGAAAGATGAGGTGGAAATGGGAAAATGAAAAATATCTGAATATTCAAGACAAGCCAGAATTTTATTAATAATTGTTATTAATTTGTTATTAAGAAAGTTTGATGTGTTCACATTTATTGCTGTATAGTAACCTGCTCTGTAGGTTACCTCCCACTGGTTCATAAGCTGTCAACATTTTGAGACAGACACTGTTTTCAAGCCCGGTTTTTCAATGGTAACATAAAAAAGGACTTTAATGTTTGCCTCCTACTACCTTTCTGACATGGAAAGATTTTCACACAGGTTGATACAGGAGATAAAAATAAAAATTGCTATTACCAAGCCATTGGATTGTGAAAGGCAGTAAATTTCTAAATGGCAACAGTGTTTATGACTGTGGGGGTTTGCTTACTAGAGGGTATACTTTAAGGTGTGTTGGGATCTGTGAAATTCGATTTTCTATGTGATATTTAGCAACTACCAAAGATGGGGAAAAAAATTCTTTAACCTTAACCATTTTACAAAGTAATCTCCATTAATTAGACTGTCACTGTTAGTGCAGAGTTAAACTAACTGAAATCCAAATCAGCCTACATATGTGAACTGAAAAGGTTTGTTTCTGGGCCAAAAATCAAAAGGGAGTAGCAGAGAGTTTGTGAAAAAAGAGCCACACAATTTTCAGTGTTTCTCAAAGTTCTAGTGAATTATGCATGTGAAGAGGGGTTTGCTGTTGTTGGTGTCTTAAATCAGACAACCCTGCCATGGAAACACATGTACAGTGGCTTATCTCACACATAGAATTATTAATGCGAAGTGAACAGGAAGCAGTGTGTAAGACTAGGGTACTTACACTACAGCCCATGGGCCATATCTGCCTTCCTCCTCAGCCTTTTTTCCCTTTTAGTAAATCAAGTTATATTGAAACACAACCGCACACACAGCCACACCCATTTTTGCATTGCCTATGGGTGTTTTCACCATCCAGTGTCAAAGTCAAATAGTTGCCATAGAGATAGCCTGGCTTAAAAAGTTATGTATATTTACTATTCAGCCTTTTATAGGAAAAAATGTATAAATCCCTGTTGTAAGGGAAACACCAGCTATGAAAACCACACTGCTGTTAGGTAACGTAGACATTCTCTTAACGTAGGACAAAGGAAACTAGGGAAGAAGTGAGTGGCAGAGATAACCCAGTATAAGAATTAATGGGGATTATGAAACAGCTTTTGAGTGCTACCACCTATGTACAGCTTTGAACACCCACATCATCCATGTTTTATTTATTTTTTTAAACAAAGTTAAGAGTTTTTCCAGGTTCTATAATGGTAATTCCTTTAGGTTGCTTTAGGATGAGATATTTATTTTCAAACATCAAACTAACACAAATACAACTAGTATGAAATAATAATGAACAATTGTTAACATTTTCATTTCTTTACCAAGGCAGTAAGAAATAGGCTCTTGTCATTTTCTCATTCTCAAGCACTTTTATTATAATAGCAATGGTGTTGTTTTGAAGCTATAAGAAAGAAAATTGCTGCTTGATGAGATCACTATAAAAGTAAAATAGATGAGAAATTCAGATCTGTTACATGCCACATGTACTACTATTTATTTAAAGACTGATTTTTTGTGTGTTTATTGAAGGAAGTATTTCATTTTTTTCCCTCTTAAACAGCAGATTTATATCTCTTCTGTCTCACCCATGAAAACTTAATGGACAATGCAATTTAAGAACACATGAACAAAAACCTGAATTTTGCAGTAGGACAATGGAAATTAACTTCAGTTGCTAAGCGTGACAGCTATTTTTGTTGCTGCTGACACTGCTGTTGCAGTCTGTTTACAGAACTGGATTGATAAATAAAAAAAGTCAATTTTCATTTGTTACAATTCTTAAATTCTGAAGAAACTGTTTTTTTCCACTTTTGCAATACGCTTTAATTCTAATTTAATAATAGTCTAAAATAATACGGATTTCTGGAGTAGCATTTTTCAAACTTTTTGGTCTCAGAACACTTTCACATACTCAAAAAATAGTAAAGAGCTCAAGGAAATTTTTTATATGTATCTATTGAAATTTATATTAGAAATGAAAAATATTGAGCTTTAAAAATATTTACTGATTCATATTTATTTCTAAATATGGCATATACACATATCAAAATTTAATGTCTTAACCATTTTAAAATATGTAATTCAGTATTATTAAGTATATCCACATTGCATGTCATTTTAAAATGACATTAATAAATACATGGTGACTAATAGAGTTATTACTATTATAACCTTAATAAACACTATACATGGTGATACACTTTAATGCAAATAACTATGTATTTATTTTAAAAATAAAAAAAGAAAGATTCCCTCCCTCCCATATTCTGTAAAAGTAAAAGTGACATTGTTTTACATTTTGTACACCTTTTTAATGTCTGATTTAATATAAGACAATTGAAATCTCGTGTCTAGTTCTGCACTTGTTATGGCACAAATAGATTGCTTTGATTGAAGTGTATAAATAAATTCCAGGTTTGCATAGATACATAGTTGAAAGAAAGAAGAATATTGTAGTAGCCTTTCCAGATAATTGTGGATTTGTAATGTAGCCTACACTGTGCACTTAAAAATAGTATGAACATAAAAGAGGTAAATAACATCTTAGTGTACTTGAAAATAATTTTGATTTCACAGGACCACCCCCCCCCCCGTGAGTCCTTGGATAATACATTAAGAACCACTGGTCTTGAGTACAGCATTGCTCAAATTATGATATAACAATTCCTAGTAGCCAAGGATAGCATCTAAATATTGTAATTATCAGAAAAAAATCACTTAAAATTTTTTTAAAAACATTTTAAATTTTGATAAAAAGCATATAATATAAATGTTACCATCTTAACCATTTTTAAGTGTAGAGTTTAGTTGTATTAACTATATTTAAGATGTTGTGTGACAAATCATTAAAACTTTTTTTTTATCTTACAAAACTGCAACTCTATATCCATTGAACAATACCTCCCATTTCCCCTTCTCTTAGCCCTGGCAACCACCAGTTCTATTTCCCATGCATCTGACCACTTTTGAAACCTCATATTAAGTGTAATCATAAAATATTTGTCTTTTGGTGTCTGGCTTATTTCACTTAACATAATGTCCTTTAGGTTCATCCATGCTGTTGCATATATCAGAATTTCCTTTTT